ATTCAGTTTTTTTGAAATCACTTGCTTTAAGTAAGCTTCTTTAAAAAATCACGTGCAAGTGTAAATGTAGTGCAACAACACTATCCTATAAGTTTGTCAATATTTGTCATTGGAACTTCCAAAAAAGCGCGCGCGTTAAGAAACATTAAATTAATTTTTATTAAATATTCGCTAATTTTTTCGTCGTTAAGTCGATTAAAAGCAACTAAATAGTGGTCTAAACAGTGAAAAATGGTGGGAAACGAGGGGGGCGGGGATAACCCGCCCACCTCGCATAAACGTCCTCGGCCTGAGGCCAGAGACGGAGGAACTAAGATGGACTGTGGGGATGGCGGCGGTGCTGGTGAGCGTTTTGACTACTCACCATATATTAAACCTAACTACAAAAGGTTATACCCAGAAAACGGCACCTATCTAGACTTTAAAGTGTATATTGAAGCTACCAACAATACAGATAGAATAGGCAATAAGAGCCCTATCTACCTCAACCATATATTTTCTAATGAAATAAAAGGGGTGACGGCAATACAACGCATTAATGCAAATAAAATAGCAGTAATATTTAAACAGTATAATACAGCCAACAATTTTATTAACAACACGGCTTTTCTCAACAAACATGGCATGAAGGCATTCATTCCAGCTGCGGAAATAGAAAAAACAGGTATAATTAGATTTGTACCAGCAAATATTTCAAACAAAGAATTATATACAAAACTATCATCAATCTATGAAATAGTAGCTATAAGAAGATTCACAAAGAAGGTCGGAGAAGAGCGAGTACCACTACAAACAGTCAGTATTACTTTTCTTTCGAATATACTCCCAGACAATGTACAATATGATTTATTCTCATACAGAGTTTTTGAATATATACCACCATTACAGCAATGTTTCCGTTGCTTTAAATTTAACCACTCGGCTAAAATATGCAACGGCAAACAAAGATGTTCCATTTGTGGAGGTGAACATTTATATAAAGAATGTGATAAACCAACAGAGATCTGCTGTGTCAATTGCAGTGGGCCTCATCTTGCAATTTCTAGATTATGTCCAATTAAGTTAAATAAAATATTAGAAAAGAAAAATAAGATAACTTATGCAAGTGCTACATTAAAGAAACAACACAATATTAAAGATAATACACAATTTCCACCTCTTTCACCTCCAAAAATGAAAATTTCCACAGTAAATAAGCCTGTATATACATCTGTAAATAGACCTGTACATTTATCTGTAAACAAACCTGTATCTGTAAATAATCCTGTACATAATGTAAATAAACCTAAAGACGTCCCTACAAAGGTAGACATCAAAGCCCAAATAGTTGCCAACAACGATGTACTTATGGCCCTAGTACAGACGTTGGTGGAACTGGGTAATAAGGGAGATAGTACGCCCACTACCATAAATAGTATTAAGGAAACTCTACTTAAAAATCTAAATTAATGGATCCAAGTTATACACTGTCTAAGTTACGTATTGCTCAGTATAACATTCAAAGTGCTAATAGCAAGAAACCTTTATTGATTCAATTCTTAGAAAAACAAAATATAGACATTTGCTTACTTAACGAAACATGGTTTAAAGACAATAAATTTAGAATACCTGGATATAATATTTACAATAAAAATTCCAATAATGTTCATAATGGTGTAGCAATACTAATTAAGCCAAACTTAAAGTACAAAGTATTAAATACCAGATTTTATGAAGACATTCAAACTGTTGCTTTGTCCTTATCTACTGTGCATGGTAGCTTGACTATCCTTTGTGTATACTGTCCTCCTTCTAGTGGACACATACATCTCAATAGACTACATAATATAATTAAGGATCTGCCAAAACCCATCTTTGTCAGTGGTGATTTTAATGCTCACCACATTGCATTTGGTTGTCTATCCACTAAGAGTAGAGGTCAGGATTTATTTAATATCATTGATGACTTGGATTTATGTATTTTAAATGATGGTAGTTTTACAACTTGTACTAGTCCAAGACGAAACCCATCTGCAATTGATGTTAGCTTTATTAGTGCTAACCTCGCCTCAATATGCGAGTGGTCGGTTCACGATGATGCCATGGGCAGCTACCACTTCCCTACAATAACAGAGATATCACTATGTATAGATAAATATCATATTAATCCCCCTGTTGATAGGTTTATATATAAAAAAGCAGATTGGACAAAGTATGAAGTTATTTCTAAAACAATATTTAACAATTTAGTATTAAAATTGCATGATCCTATCTCAACCTACAATGATTTTTGTTCTCGATTAAATACTTTAAAAGATATGACAATCCCTAAACTCACTAAACCAAAAAATTTTAAAAGCAGACCTCCAGCTCCCTGGTGGAATGACATTTGTGAGAAAAGTGTAATTGCCTCTTACAATGCATTGAAACGTTATAGAAGTGAACCTACTATGGAGAACTATTTAGATTACAAAAGAAAAGATGCACTTAAAAAAAGGACTATATCAGAGCAAAAGAGAATAGGCTGGGATAACTTGTGTAACTCTTTCAATAGAACTACTCCTATTAGTAAGATTTGGAACCTCCTTAAAATGTTTAAAGGTATAAAAGCTGGCAATAAATCGCATAAACATGAGTTTATCTCTCCATTTCTAGACAAATTATCCGACAATAGCAATTTAAATGATGTTGGTAGTTTAGGTAATATTTTCGAATTAAATAATGATAGTCTAAAGTCTAAATTTTTGCTAGATCCTTTTACATGGTCCGAGTTTAAAATTAGTTTGTTATCTCGCAAAGACACTACACCTGGATTAGATGATTTCCCCTATTGTATTATTAAAAATTTAGACGAATCTGCAAAAAAATTGTTTCTCAATATCCTTAATTTACTTTGGTATTGTAAATCTATTCCGCAATCATGGAAAACACAATGTGTCATTCCAATACTCAAACCAGATAAACCTACAGAGCTAGCAAGCTCTTATAGGCCCATATCACTCTCTTCATGTTTAGGTAAAATATTTGAAAACATGATTAAAAATCGTTTGGATTGGTATATAGAATCTAATGGCATCATTCCGCATATACAATATGGATTTCGTCGAGGACGAAGCTGTGCAGACAGTTTCATTTCTTTAATTTCGGACCTGAAACATGCAAAGGAAAAAAAGTTACACACTGTTTGTGTATTCCTAGATGTTCAAGGTGCATTTGACAGTTTAGATCCTGCTATACTAGTACAAGTTATGTTTAGGCTTGGTATACCTGGCCAAGTATGTAAATGGATATATAATTTTTTGAATAATAGAACACTCTATGTAAGATATAACAATACACTATATGGTCCAAAATGTGCATCTAGGGGTACAATGCAGGGTGCTACACTATCTCCTTTGCTATACAATATTTATACAAGTGAAATCTGTAAATATGTGAATAGTAATGTAGATATTTTGCAGTTTGCTGATGATATTGTTTTGTACAGTAGTAATTATAATATAGAAATTGCAATTAACAATATTAACAGAGCCTTGTCTCAACTATTTCAATATTATAATGATGTATTACATATAAAAATTAATGCCTCTAAAAGCAGTATCATGATATTTGGCAATGAGAATTCTAATTCAAAAGTAGTTTATAATGGCGAATTTATAAACCCAGTAAATTCAAAGAAATTTTTAGGCATAGTAATAGATAGGAAATTAACTTTTCAGGAACATATTAAATATATATCAAATAATGCTTTAAAAGGTTTAAACATAATTAAATGTCTTGCAGGTGTTTCATGGGGAGCAGACCCTAAAATATTGTCAAATGTATATAAAAGTATAGTTAGAAGTCATTTTGATTATAGTTCACTAGTGTATATGAACAGTACCCATGTAAATAAACTGGATCAATTGCAGAACAGGGCTTTGAGAATTATTTCTGGTGCTATGTGCTCTACTCCCATAAGGGCCATGGAAGTGGAGAATAAATTGATGCCCTTAATACTGAGACGCATTCTACTTGCAGAGAGATTTTGTCTTAAATTAATTGCTGCAAATCACAGGGGAATTATTAACAAAATTGTACCTTCTGTAAGTGGAACTCCTGGGCCTCTAACAACAGGAGACAATCTTTTGAATGCCAAATCTCCAACATTGTCCAAAATATTGCTAGAAATAAAGAATACTTTTACTCATATTAGAAAACAGTGCCCATGGCCATGTTATTCTTTCTCTTATCAGTGTATTTCACATCCCATCAAAGTATTACAAAATCTTATTAATAATAATTCAGATATGCTACAGTTTTTGGCAGATAATAATAATCATTATATTATTTACACTGATGGCAGTAAGGGGAATGATTATGTATGTTCCGCTATTTATGATCCACATACAAAATTCTCTCAAAGCTTTGTTCTGCACAATACATGTACTATATTTACAGCAGAGGCATATGCGGTTTATCAGGCTTTATTACATATTCGCCAAATCAACAATTATAAATACTTTTTGATTGTGTCTGATTCAATGAGTTTGATAAAAGCCTTAATTAACCTTACACTCTCATTTAAGTCAAATTATATTCTGTATTTTATCAAAGAAATAATTTATCAATATTATCTTAAGCACATAAAAATTTCTTTTCTATGGGTACCTTCTCACCGAGGTATCTTGGGCAATGAAATAGTTGATAAAACCGCATATGAAGGTAATAATGCTGTTGATGTTAGAAATGCAATGGAAATTCCTATGACTGATTTTCTGCAAATTATCAATGAAAATGTATGTAAGTTATGGCTAGAAATGTGGAAGAAAGACCAAGACATAAAAGGAAAGTGGTATGGAAATATTCAAGAAAGATTGCCTGTTACACCCTGGTACAATAGAGTGAAAGAAGCCAGCCGAGACTTTATAACTACGATAAATAGATTGCGCTTTGGCCATAATACTGCACCGTCACACCTTTTTAGACTTGGCATTATTACAGACAATACATGCCCATATTGCGAATCCCAAGAAGGAACCATGGAACATCTGATTTTTGACTGTCAAAAATTCTTGCTTGACAGATTAGTGTTGGCTAGTGAACTCAGTGATGTGAAAATTAAGTGTAATCCTTCATCCCGCCCGCCGCCACTAGAACAGTTACTAAAAGACAAAAACACTTACAAACCAATTTATAAATATATTAAAAACACTATTAAAACAATTTAAAATGAACTAAAGTGAAAGTGCAATATTTGTTCAAATAAAATAAGACTTGACTTAAAGGTCTTTGTTACCAGGTCAATAAATCCCAAAAAAAAAAAAAAAAAAAAAAAAAATATTTGTCATTGTTTGCAAACATCAAAATCAAATTTGCCGAAACATTATTCATTATATATTTTGATTGCTGTCAATTGGCACTGATAACAATATTTAAAGTTGTACCTGTCTTCTGTGATAGTTTTTACCTGTTTACTGTGTGTTGTTATGAATTAAAACGAAAATAATTAGTAACGCGAAGTCATATTTTGCGTATTTAGGCGCGTGATCTCCCCAAGTTCAAGGTTAACTAAAGATACGACCAGAATCAACTGAGTTAGCACAAAATAGTCAGAAGAAGCAAGACGGTTAGTGACAATTTTGTATTTATTTTATTTCAGGAAATTCTCAGTAAATTAAGACGTCTGTGCAAGTACATGGGTACTAACATCGGTTTTCTATTGTTTTATAAAGTTTTATAAACAAGCATTACCAATGTAAAAGGTCTTTGACCTACTACGCTATCGAAGATATTCATTAGCGCGACCTACATCTTTCGTCGACATGAAACTTTTGTGAATAATAATGCCCTACATTTTAGTAAGTTGTTTATTTTTTGCAGATGGGCTACCTGAACACTAACCAGTCTACATATAGTCAAACTAGTTTATATGATCGTGTCAAGAAACTACTGATTTCATATGAATGGAGCGATTGCAGCTTTATTGTAGCAGGCAAAAACTTCAAAGCACATAAATTAATTCTAGGTATTAGTAGTCCTGTTTTTGAGGCTATGTTTTATGGGCCTTTATCCTCTAATGAGGACATTGTGATAACTGATATTCAGCCTGATATTTTCCAATTAATACTTAATTATATATACACAGATACAGTTGAATTAAGCACTATAGATCAAGCTTTTGAGCTGCTGTATGCATCTAGAAAATATATCTTAGAACATTTGACTGAAATGTGCATTGCTCACATTCAATCAAACATCAGTGTTGATAATGTTATAGAAGTATTAAATTATCCAGAATATATGCAAGATAAGCAATTAATATCTTTTGCCTTAAAATTGTTCTGTGAACATGCACATTATTTATTACAAGACAAGAAAAACCTTATTACCTACTCTTGTCTGAAAGCTATCCTTGAAAGTGATCAAATGAATATATCAGAAAGAGATCTCATCAAGCATGTTTTTGAATGGTCTTCATATTGCTGTGAACTAAACAATATTTCTGTGACATTTGAAAATAGACGTGATGTCCTGAACAAGAATGGTTTGTTTAAGTTATTAAGATTTTTGACACTAAATGTTAATGATCTTGAGGAAATTGTTACTGATAAATATAATCTTTTACTACCTCACGAAATCGAAAATATCAGGAAAAGTATCACAAAATCGAATAAGGAAGTAGTGGGGCCAATAGGCGTAAGTGATATGCCAAGAAATATTTTACAATTACAATGGCATCTATGTTATAGATGTCCTATCAGATCTGTGGCTCCTATAATTATTGATGCAAACAATTATATCATCCAGTCTAGAATAAGGGTCAACAAATCAGTATTCATCAATTCTCTTTGTGTACCAACAAGAATGGCACCAGCAGATCATTTTTGTGATAAAATGTCAAAAGTATACAATGAGCAACTATCAGTATCAATAATGTGTGAATGTGACAACAGTATTATTAAATTGACTAACTTTGCAAATATGGTACATTATGACTCAATGGTAGATATACCTCTGACAGAGCCTTGCTTTGTGAAAAAAAATGATTGGTACAAAATATGTTTTGTTTGGCCTCGCAACAGATCAGGTACATATTCATATGTAGTGGAATTTAGACATGATCATTATAGTGGTCATAAGGTATCATTTGAATTTGATGACCTACCATTTAATGCTGGCACAAGTGGTAGTTTCCTTGGTGGCTTGAAATTTTGTTTGTAGTAGTGGTGTAATATTTATACTGTAAATTAATTTTATTAGGTAATAAAAAGTATGTTAATATTTTGTTGAATAAGCTTTATAATTATAATAAATTAATATTAAAACTTCAATGTGTATAATTGAGATCTCAGTAAGAGAGAACAAAGAGAGAATGCAGACACTTACAGAAGTGAGTATGTTTCGTTGTTTGTTACACTTTCACACCTTAACTACTTACATATGAAATTTTGCATACACATATATACTTATGAGTAAAGAAAATAACAATAAATGCAATCAGTATGGTAAACTGATTGACAATCTGTGTTTATCCCGTTTGAGGGATGCCTTTCAATAAGTTATGCTAGGTATGCGTATTAGCCAAAAGCTAAAAAGAAATGACTGAAAAGTTAATTAAATGAACTCAACTAAAAGTAACCGTTTATTATATCACATTTTTTATGTCACTCAGTATGAAAAATATTACACATCTTCATCAAATTGCCAAAAAAACGAAGTTGTTATCATAACATGAGCTTATTTTACAGTAAATTGCTGTCCGTCCTGTCTGTTTAAAGAAACCTCAAATTGCGAAATACGTTTTCAGGCAAAAATCAAACAGTTTTAAGCTCAAGTTTAACATTTGGGAAATCTGAAAAAAAAAATCTATAGACTGCTAACGATTATAAACAAGTTAATGAAAAATCGTGAGGAATACATCTGTCGGTGCGGGTCAGTTAAATTTTCATTTGTAACTTCACTAATAGTCCGACGAATAGGTACTCTCAGTTGACAGAACTCAAACCATCGTCGCGAAACTGAACTAATAATACGATATCCTCAGCCGTACCTTGATGCTGCTTAGTGGTTACTCTTAACGATCTACCTAACTTTAGATTGGGCATATCATAACTATAGGTAGGTCCAGTTAAACGGTCGACCTACTCATAGCCGTCACCGTTAATCAAATAGTTAACTTCGTTAATCGTTAATCCGCTACAAAAAAAGTTAGCTTCGTTAAACGTTAAAGCGTTACATTTCGGAAGAAATAACGCAAGTTAATCGTTAATCCGTTAATATGTGTAAAATTGCATCTATATATCGTTGCGTTAGTGAACTTATAAAACCTGTTGGTTTAGATTCTGGAAGTTAACAGGTTAGAAACAAAACAAAATACTTGTATTATTCAAATGTGTAATTTAATCGTCGGGCATAAGGTGCATATTCCCCTTCATGAACATTAACATGTTGAAGTTCTCGTCTGAAAGCGAGGCTCGTTTTGGTGTTAAAATGTCTTTACCCGTGGAAAAAAGACGTTCAACTGCAGCGCTTGAGGGTATAGCAGTATTGTATTTAATGAATAGATTTATGAATATCTGTTCCCCGAGGAATGCAGCATCGTTAACCGAGTCTTTTGATTTCATGTCTAGCCACATTTTAACGAGACTTTGCGCTTTACTCTTTAAAGAGTTGGAGTTATTTGGTTTTTCTAGACTGAGTGACAGAATTGAAAAAGTCTTCCTCGTCATCATCGTTGTTACTCGCATTGCTCCCTCCGCCACTTAAACTATCTCTGTCCTTCGAATTTTCCGCTGCTTCTTGTCGTAAGGCATCTTCTATCTTTTTTTCCATGCACTTTTTTACTGTATCCACTCTACTGCTGTCATACGTTTCCAGCCATATCGACCGGAACTTAGGTGAAATGCCGCGGTAAGTTGGCACTGTTCATTATTCAGGAGTGGTTCAAACCTTTTCTCTATGTCATTAAATAAGGCATTGGATAAAGCTGTGCAATTTACTAGGCCCTTAGATTTAATATTTTTTAATTTATAGACAGTTGCTGCAATCGTCGGTAGTAGTGATACGAGATATGCTTGAGCTTCTCCTTGGATACGATCGAGGGCATTCGCGACAGGTGCCATAACCTGTAATTACTTACAGGTTATGGCACCTGTCGCGAATGCCCTCCAAAAAAGGTACTTATTTTAGTTACTTACCTAATCAGGTGTTGCTTCAATTCAATGTGTTCGTCAGTAATGCGTCTACCCAAAGTTCTTCTTGAAATTGAATTTTTACTCGGGTTTAACGTTTTTATCAACGCACCAAAAGACTTGCTTTCGACAACATGTAAAGGAATCATGTTTGAAACAAATAAATTTACTATACATTTGTCCACTTTGGCTTGGGGTACACCGCTGCCAGTAGCTGCAATCCCGAACGATTCCCCGATGCTCAGCTGTAGACCGTGTTGTATTCTTCTTTTAACAGGAGTAGGATTACTGCTACTTGTGCTATCATCATCATTAATATTGTCATTGTCAGAATGAGTTCTCCTTTTTGTCTTGCCCTGGTTAGAGCCCGCCTTAACAATCTCTTCAAACTGTACGTATTGTGACTCATGTACCCTTCTTACATGTTGTTTCAAATTATTCAGGCTTGATACATGAACTTTTATTTTGGTGTCTTCTGGCAAGCATCGCTTACACGCTAAAAGTATTTGCTGGCCCGATCTGGATACAAATTCCACATACTCAGTCAAATGTGGCCATGGATTCTCATCAGGACCGCATTAGGCATTGGATTAACGATTAACGGACTTCTGCACATATTAACGGAAGTTAACGTGTCCGTTAACATTTTTAAAAGTTAACTTAAAAGTTAATCCGGTAATCAAAATGTTAACTTCGTTAATTAACGGAATAACGAGTTAATGCCCAGCTATGGACCTACTATATAAATATAACAGTCATGTCTTCTGAACGCCTGTCGGTAATTTTACTACTTTCCTAGATCAAATAAAAAAGTTAAGATGGTACTCTGTGAACAAAAAAGTGAGGCCAATTAAAACTACGATTTGGCGTGTACATACACAATTCAGGCAACACGTACAACGAAACTACGCCTTGTCAATCAAAATATCAACAATGTTTACAGGTACAAACAAATGCCGAATTTTGTTGTGAGAGGGTGTAAAATCAAACCACAAGAGATAAATAGTAGGCTGGAATCGCATTTCACACATAAGTAAGCATAGAAACAGAAACCAATATTTTCAATGAAATAAAATTATGATGGTAGCACCGGTCCACGCACACGGTCCATGCTTATAAATCCGGCTTCACTTCGTTTTTCGCAAACTTCCATCTTAAATTTTTATTTGGTCTGAGCTACTTTCATGCACCATAAACTGTGTGTCAGAGTTTTCCGAAGATACAATGACATTAGTGGTCAACATTTATATTAAAAGCTGATGCTTGACTCTCATTTACGAAATATTTTTTGCTCTTTCATTACATTATCCTTAGCTAGTGATCCTGAATCCTGAAACCCGCGGTGTTACCCGCGTTTGTTGTTATAACCGCGGGCAACGCCGCGGGGCGAAGCTAGTCTAAAAAAAGTAGCCTCAGTTACTCCTTATGTCATCAGCTATCTGCCAGTGAAAGTCCCGTCGAAATCGGTCCAGCCGCTCCAGAGATTACCCGGAACAAACAGACAGACAGAGACAGACAGACAGACAGACAAAAATTGTAAAAAATGTTATTTTGGCATATGTACCGTGTAAACATACATATGCGTTTAGTAAAAAGCGGTTATTTTAATATTACAAACAGACACTCCAATTTTATTTATTTGTATAGATAGATACCATACTCATATACAGGTTTTTTTTTTGCATGCTCAAGATTTGCATGTCTGATATATTTTTATTATGTTATAATGGTAACATCTATTGATCGGTGTACGAAAATAAATGAAAACGTTTATAAGCTTCGAACTACTTTATTAAATGTATTTGTATAATGGCAAGTGCAAGTTTGCTTAGATTATAGACCTACAAGTGTTAGAAAAGTACCGGAACAGCTAAATAATTCGCTAGGAATGCAGTTTTTCGGATAAACGTTTACCACAAAAGTTACAGGAATTTGCCCTTATCCATTGGTGACCTTGAAATTGACCTTAGTCGTAGTTGAAAGGAGAGAAAAAAATGAGAGAAAAGGAAAGGAAAAGTGTTTAGACCTAGCGATGGTATGATATGTTGCTGTTAACGCCAAATAGTCATCACAACCTATTTATCATTATTGAATTGGTTTGAGGCGTCCATTAATTACAAGATTCGGTCAGGAGAGGGCGTCGAGCCGAATCTCATCTAATCTTACTAAGGGGTGAGGGGGGATCTTGGCAAATATCACGTAATATTTTATCCGCAAAAAACAGAGTAAAACTGCGAGAAAACTTGGTTAAATTAAGTAGAATATGTTCCTCCACGGAAATATGGCCAAGTCTAATACTGTATTGTATAAGTCTAATATGGTATTGCGAGTGCCACGCAGTTGCACAGTAGCCCGCCGTTTTTTGACGCGCCACCGCCAGCCTTTACACTGCCTTAACACTAAAAACACATTTTTAAAAATCTCACGTGAGACTGGTGGATGTGGGAGGGAGTTGAATTAAATCTCCCGACATCTCACCAGAGGGGAGGGTCAGTAAATAGCCGAAAACCCCTCACGTAATTAATGGCCGCCCCCTTGGTGTAGGCGCTTCGAAGTATGACGGTACTTAGACATTTTAGATTTTTTAAGAATATTGAAAAATGGACTGCCTACTATTGTGCACTTTCCATTATTAATTCAATTATCTTCGCTACTAATAATCGTTTTATTGAGTGTCAAAGCTCCAGTGCCTTGAGAATAGACATAATTGGCGACATTGACAGGACAACCTTCTGAAGAGAGTTTGCAGCACCAAAGTCTACCTGGAGCTGGTCGCGCCGCATCTGGATCTTTGGAAACAGCCTACTCGAGTATCGGAAGCACCAGCATTGCCGGACGTAGACGTCATATACAACGCTGCACCGCAGCACAGCAATATCATTCCAACTTCCTGTTACCTCAAGTAACCTGTTGCCTACCCATTGTTTTCGTTTCATAACTGTGCAAGCTACGTATTAAATAAATAATATTTACAGATACAGAAAATGAAATTACAGATTTACCTTGTCGAGGTTACAATTTCACATCATACATCTTTTTCGATATATGCTTACAATCTTGCTAATATATATTGTTTCTTTGCAATCCATACGAATATTTTTACTGCGTATTACGAAAAATATACGCTTTATCACATTTTCACCCACTACGGTTTTTTATTATAATATTTTCTTCGTTAGGTCATTTCTCTCATAGAAAACCCCACAAAAGGCTGTCGTGCCTTATAATCTGCATTGTAGTGAATATTTACGCCTCATACTTCAGCTGGGGACCGCATTGCCAGTGCGTTGCTGAGCCTCGTCAACGCCCACGCCGCTCGCCGCTCCGCGCTGAGCACAGCTGCGGCTTCGGCCTTCGTTAAACACCACCAACGAGGGGCGTGAGCTTCTTTTTATACATTTTCAATTTTAACATAAGTCCGTTAATTATAATGAAACTTGCCGCGACTCCCACATACAAAGAAACAGAAACATACTACAGCGCCATCTAACGAAGACACACCAAACAACGGAGTAACTCCTGAATGAGAATTGCTAATCCTATATCCCGATATGAAGAATTCTCTCGCCGATTAGCAACTTCCCAACATCAACCGTTGGGCCGTAGCCCGCCAGGTATGATCACCTCGACTGGTCGGCGAATCCTCCCTTTGGTCGGAGGGACATAAATTTAATTATTTGCTCTTGAGGTATCTTTGTGAGATTATTAAGTTACCAAGCCATAATTAATAAAAATTAATAATGGCTTCAGGTGACGATACAAAGAGCGTAGTAGAATTGACGGTTAGACGTAGCTTTGTCAAAGGCAAAGTAACGAAGTTTAGAAACTATTTAGCAAAATTATCGCATCTCGACTGCTTTACTTCTACACATCGGGCAGAACTTACACTTAAATTAAGCAAGTTTGAAATTTTATCGTCAAGGTTTGATAAGTTACAAAGTTAAATATACATTTTTAATTCTAATTTGTTAGACAACGAGCTTGAAGACGAGAAAACATAGAAAGAGAATTTATTAGTAGGTAATATTGTAACAGTACAAAATTTATTACAAATACATAGTAGGGATGAGAGCCTTCATGATTCAAGTAGCCCTCATAATGCAACTTATTGCGTTATTGAAAATAGTGAAATGGGTTTCAAGCTACCTTTGCTTCAAATAGCCAAATTTGATGGATCATACTATCGTTAGATGGAATACCGTGACACTTTCTGATCTTTATAGTCCATCTAATCTAAGAGGTACCGTTTCCCAGTTGTAACAGATTGAAGTATAGCGATGGGGTCAAAGAAATCGAATATTAGGTTTAAAGAACTTGATTAATACTCAAGAACGTTACAGTCCACTTAGTGAGCATAATATAAAAATCAACCAAGTAATAACAAGGAACAGTGATCGTAGGTTTCTAAATCAATGACTCAAAAAAGTTAAGAAAACAGACTGCATTGTCCTATGTACTCACACGAAATTATATTTGTAAATATTATATTTGTAGAGAGTCCGTTATGGTTAATCACTACAGTAAGCATTAGATTGCACCATATAGTAGTAGTATGCGCGCAGTGGCGGATTAGTCACGTAGCAAGAGTAGCAAATGCTACGGGCCCCGCGCATTAGGGCGCCCCCGCTCTGACCGTAAAAAAGTATCTACTTCGTACCTACTACTATCGTATTTCGATCGGAGTGTGAAAATATTTTTTCAAATCAATAAAGCCAAAATTCTTATCACGAAAGAGGCATCTAAATGTCAAACTATAATTTGACGGGCCTGTTGGTTTAGTGGTTAGTGAGCCTGCTAAGCCAGAGGTCGTGGGTTTGATTCCCACCCAGGACAAATAATTGTGTGATAAGCACGATGATTTGTTCTGTGTCTGGGTGTAATTTATCTATAATATGTATATATTGAGAAATATATAAGTATGTTTATCAGCAGTCTGGTTAGAATAGTACAGGCTCTGCCTAGTTAGGAAACATACAGCCGTGTGTGTGAAGTGTTAAGTAAAAAATTTAAACTTTTAGTACATTTCTAAAATTATGTTTTGCACTGCGACTCAACGCTGCGTGTGACGCCCAAGCCAAGCAAGTTGCCCACGTGTGCTGAGCCGCGTCCTCACTGCAATCGGAGTGATGACAGGCGGGATTCAATTCCCTCCTATCGAACGATTGCAGAATCAGCCGTACCCAGAAAGAACCTGCTCTGCTCTGGACGCTCTGCCCACTCAACGATTGGCCTCAATTCAACTACCGGTTGGAGTGCCTCTACGGCGGCAAAGCGAGCTCGTGGAACCTCCAGGCTGGACCAACCAACGAGCCATCGTGGCTCGGCGAGAGGCTTTACGCCCCTCGCGCTCCTCTTCGGGTGGGGGCCGAGCACTTCCTTCCCAAATCCCACGAGAGTGTTCCGGTTCTAACTGCCAATGCCCTCTAAGGGCGCCATAATAAAATATGTTTTATAAGCTGAGACTTATTTTAACAGTGACGTGCAATCATTTTTTGTATTAGGCTGAGTAAACATGCTTTTTATATTCAAACCCAGAATAATATTAATATTAAATCTTAACATTTGGTAATAAACATCAATAATGACACAATAGTAAACATACAACACAAACTGCACAATAGACATTGAGATAATACATCCATAATCATAGCACTTACAAAATTTTGGTGAAAGTCACTTAAGAGCAGACGCAGTGCCGACCAGTTTTAGGGTAAGCTGTCGGGAGTGCTCATAGAAGAGCCATCTCCCGTCACGTATCAGGCCCATATCCTTCATCTGGGCCTGAACCGGTACGTTGACCAAGATGACCACTTTCAGGCGCCAGGGGGTGGACTACAACTAGGCCCAAGAAATAAGAGGCCTCCCTCTTATCCAGGACCACCTTTAAGACAACCACCAAAGAGACACCCCAGGTCCCCCTCCTACCCACAGACAACCAAAGTGTCGTTGGCGTAACAGATTACGCCCAGCCCGGGGGGGGGGGGGGATCTCCTCGAAGGGCCTAGTCGTACCCTATGTTCCACAGGAGGGCCCAAGACCAGAGCCCTGTTCAACACCACATGACATGGGCCGACGTCTCAAAATTGAAACAAAACCTATAGGGTTTGTTTCTTGAAACTTAAAATAAGCCCAAGTAGGGTTTGTTTCAAATTTGAGACTGGTATAACCAACCCGTCTGGCCAGCGTAGCATAGCAAACAAAGATCTCCTTTCTAAGGAGAAGCCCATATCCAGCAATAGACTGTTGAGGATGATGATAAATACCATAAACTAGATAACCTAAAACAACCCAAGGGGCCCTTGGTATAATTTGCTACAGGCCCCGCGCTGTCTTAATCCGGCACTGTATGCGCGCACTTTTGCTACTTTATTTCTAGTATCAACCAAAAATGTCCGGTAGTTTGAAAATTCCAACTAAATTACGATGATCGAAGCAAATACACAAACACCCTCAGGTGAAAATTGTTAGCATTGTATAAAGGAAAGGTTTAATTACGCAAACTTGGAACTTGAAACATTTTATCATATTACGATAAATAACATCTGTAATAAAAATTTTGAACATTGATTTAATTAATTGATTAATTTGAATATTGTTTTAATTGATTAATTAATTTGAACACCAGAATATTTAATTGATGATAAATTTCATTATATTTATTTGCTTTAAACACAAAAATGATATTTTTATATTTACTTTTCTTATAATAATTATAGAATGAACAAGATAATGTAGCATTACCGTCATTTTCCTTATCTTTTTTTTATACAAGTGAAAACTTATTATATTAACTTAGTATATTTACTTTTTTTTTCCTCGACTGTCCAAAAAGGAGTGCAAATGTTTTTTTTTAATTCATCACATCATCACATCAACAGCCTATAATAGTGCTGGACACTGCTGGACATAGGCCTCTCCTTAGAAAGGAGGTTTTGGCCTACTATACCACGCTGGCCAGACGGGTTGGTATAGGGTTTGTTTCAAGGGGTGCTGGGCTAGAAAACCTCCTCGTGGTGCACCCTGGAAACGCTGGCGATGGTACTGTTTCCTCCTTGTCCTCTTGGAGGAGAGGATTATCGCCAGCGGCCAATATTCTAGCAGAAGAGGTAGCCGTTCATCGGCTCTCGGGCAAGGCCTGGTCCAGCAGGGTGGGCGTGTCTGCCGGTTGCCCTGCTGGCTCTTCGCTCTTCGGAGCATGGAGGAGGAAACCTCGGTAAAAAACCTGATGGCGGGGCCCTGTAGGGGCCACAGTTTCTCCGCTGACAGCGGTGGAGAAAGGAGGACGGGCTCGGCGTGTACTCACACTACCACCGAGCAGGCAGGGGGACGTAGTCTCCCTGTCAACCGTCGGCATATCGTAATCCCGAGAAGAGCGCTGTGGTTAAGTCTCGCGGCTCTGATCGGGGGCGAGGGTCTTGGCTTAACCGCCCGGACCGCGAGGAAGATAACCTCTCTAAAAAATTCCCCGAATCCCGTGTTCTGGTGCGTGGCCAGGGGATGCATGGCTGATGGGAAGTTCAGTCGCGAGCGCACTCCAAGCCGAGGTACCTGCGGACCCCTCGGTTGGGTTAAAAACTTACGCTTGCCCGGGTAATGGGGGATCTCTGCCCGGGTGGACCTTTTAGTTCTCCCCCACTCGTGGGACTTATTATGGAAAATATTAACTCAAACATTAAAAAGACGATCGGAACCAACCAACAAACGAAAAAGGCAAGCCTAAAGGACATGAAAGCAAAAGGAAGGAAGGACAAGCAGAACAGTGGAGCTGATGGGTCGTCCACTGAGGGTGAGATGGTGTCAGGAACGCCTATCTCGATGGGGCTCCCAGAGGTCAGTCTGACTCTGGTCACTGGGAGCCGAAGAGCATCGGATCGGCTGCGT